ACTATCTATTTCCAGAACTTTTCCGTCTTCTCGAACTGAAACTTCCCATTCCCCCCTCATCAAGCTCCTGGTGGCCTCTGTTCTGCTTTATAAAGTCTCCATGAACTTGCCTATTCTAGATATTTCATATAAACGGAATCATGTGATATTTGTCCTTTTGTGACGAGTTTATCCCACTTAGCATGATGTCTTCAAGGTTCATCCATATTGTGGCAGGTGTCAGAATTTCTTTCCTTCTATGGCTGAACCAAAGTCCTGTGTACGTACGGACCACTCTGTGTTTATCCACTCATCTGCTGATGCACATCTGGTCGTTTCCAGCTCCGGGCTGTTGTGAATAACGCTGCAGCGACCATGGGTGTGCAAATACCTGTTCACGTCCCTGTTTCAATTATTTTGGGCACATATCCAAAAATGGCATTGCTGAACCCTATAGTGATTCTATGATTAATTTTCTGAGGATCCGCCACCCTGTCTTCCACAGCGGCTGTACCACGTTACGTTCCCACCAGCAATGCACATCCCTCAATAACACTTGTTTTCCACGTTTTTGCCGAGAGCCGTCCCAACGGGTGTGAAGTGGTATCTCGTGGTTTTGCCACGTCGGCGCGATTTACCATCCCATAACAAAGGGGACACTGGAGCTAGTGACAATAACAATTTGTGAGAAGCTACCTCCAGAACAGCATCTGGACTCTTTTCCTCCCCCCAGCATAATGTAAACAATATATGTGACAAGTATTTCAATCATTGAAGCAATATCACAATACAGTGAATACCAGGAACGCATACTCGAGAACTGCAACGGGACCACTAGGGAGGCCTGTGTCCCTCCTCAAGTTGTGTCCCTGTCCCCGCCTCACACCCCTCCCTGTCCCAGGGCATCAGCAGCCCGAGTGTTGTGTTTGTCATTCTCTTACCCCAGCTATGGCTAAAATACAGTTTTATCACATACGTACATACCCCTAATAATATCCTACTGATTTCACATATTTCTGAGCTTAACCAGAATTACATAATGTCTAGTCACCTGGCACTTCATTTTCTCACCTAACGTTTTTTCTACGATTCCCCCATGTTAGGAATATATTTAGGAATCACATTGTTGGCCTCTGGGGTCTCCACAAGATCAGCTTTCCAAGATAATGCCAAACTGTTTTCCAAGGATTATTCTTGTGTCTATTGGATGATTAAAGTTTAATCACCAGAGGCTTTTAAGGATTAATCTGGGCCACACCTGCTCCCCCAGCCCTGGCGCAATCCCGTCTACGTGTGGAAACAGAGCCCGGGGTGCGCAGGAACGCGCCTCGCTTGCTGCTGAGCAGGCGGCTCCTGGGAGCCCTCCCGCTGGGCAGCCCTGGCAAGGCAGCCACTTCCCACCTGCCTGGAGGTCTGGCAGCTGCGGGGCCACCTGTCTGGAAAGGGAGCGGGACTGACTAGGCACCCACAAACCATATTCCTAGGGTTCCCCAGGCCCAGAGGAAAGAGAAAGGTCCCTCGGCAGTCACAGGAACATCCACTGCCCTGAGACCAACGCAGCCCTCCCTGGGGGAACGTGGGAGGCACTTCCCAGAACAGCAGCTAAGATTAGTGTGTCTACTACAGAAACAGAGCTTCGGCCTAGAATTTGAACTCGAAACATAAGTCCAGGCCCACCCAGCAAGCGCAAAGCGCAAGGAAGAGTCATCGAGCTACATAATTACTGAAGACCCCTTTGCCTGCTACACTCTGGGTTCAGATTTCTCACTGTTGTACGTGTTCCAAACCACAGCGCTACTGACAGTGCAGCCCAGGGGTCACTCTGACCTTGATTTTGTTTTCTCCAAAGGCCACTGAATGCCATAAACCAATTTCCTTGTCTGTACGAGGTATAAAAAGGGATTGCACCGCAAGAGCATCTCTGGATGCTGAAAGATTCCAAATGGATAAGTGAACACAGGAAAAATATCTTGGGCATTTCAGGGACACTAAGTATTTCAGGGAGTGTTCCTGGCGACACTCCTGTGGGCTGAATTGTAAATAGTGGCCACTTGGAGCACTGCCTGGCTCCACGGAAGCTGTGGTCGTAGGACGGTCAGTCTGTCTCACTCTGTCAGTTGTCAGAAGGGAAGACCCCACAGCCATTCGAAGAAGGGCTTCACTAGATGTGTTCTGGGCAAGCACATACTTTTAACCAGCTAAGAGATCAACTGTGCACAGAAGATGAAGGTGCAAACAGACACACACACACAAAAAGAACAAACCCTGCTAAAGGGCCTTCAATCTACTGTGCCCTCAAGAACCATTCCTATTAAACAGCAAGTGTCACGGTGTTGCCCCTGAATGCCTCCCACTGTGCTCAGCCGCACACTACACAGAATCACGAGGCACCCGTGAGACAAGCAGCTCACGTAAAATGAGACGCTCACGTACCTGGGTAGAGAGAGGGTGTCGACACATCAAAAAGGCATTTTCAGAGTATCCAGCCTTTGAGGAGGGACCAAGGAACTTCTGAGACACCCTGGGTGCCCCGACCAGCAAAGTCTAGACAGAGCTGGATGCCAGCACCACAGAGCACAGACTCTGAGGAAGACGTGACCGTGCTCAAAAGGCAGCCACGTCCATGGCGTACCGCGACGTGCCCTGTGTGGCTTCACGCCAGCAACGTCTCCCACGAACGTCTGCAGCATCAAAGCCTTATCTTCCAGGAACCCCAAATGCTACCTTGACACAGCATCAATCTTGCAGACATCCCTGGAGATGAGGATGAAGACTCTGATGCACAGAGTACTTAAGGGACCTGTCTGGGATCACACAGAAAGTGGAAAAGCCAAGGTCTGATCTCAGACAAAATAACTGCAGGGTTTATATCCCGTATTTACCTGCTATCAATGGCTCTCCTCTTCCAAAACCACACTGAGATACTGGTATGTGTGTATGTGCATGTACATATATGTATGTGTGTGACTATATGTACATGTACGTATATGTGTATACACACACTGTTTTTTAGGAAGACTCCTGCAAGTCATCTGGCACCTTTAGAGCTGGAGAACTCGTCTCCTGGCTCAGATACCTACCAGCCCTTCCCCTTCATCCGTGCTGGCAGACCCGCGTCTGGTTTAGGCACTGACCCTCACTCCCATGGCTGTGTGCCTATAAGAGGTGTACTCTGCCCAGTGGGAATCTGACTGATCTGAATCCTTGCCAGCCAGCGATGGATTTAGGGTAGGCATATGACCCAGTTCTGGCTACTGGGATGTGAGGGCAGGTAAACTAGGAAGAAAGTTCTGGAAAAGTTTTCTCATTCTTAAGAAAGCACAAGCATGAGACATCCCCTCTTGCTGGGGTTGAGTGTGGTCATGATGCCTGGAACTGTGGCAGCCATCTCGCCCCCACCAGAGAAACCAGCCAGAGGCCCAAATCCACAGGCTGAAAACAAAGAGACAGAAATACTTTGGTCTCTGATGACATCTTTGAGAAGATGAATTAATCAACCCTGGGGCTCTCTACTTTCAGAGTTATTATTTTGTAAAGCTAATCCTTTTTTATGTGTGTGAGCTGGGGTCTCACTATGTTGCCCAGGCTGGCCTCGAACTCTTAGGCTCAAGCGACATTTCCACCTCAGCCTCCAGAGTACCCGGGACTACAGGCATGAGCCACCACACCCAGCTTTAGCTAATCCACTTTCACGATTGATTTAGCCAGTTGTGTTCATCTTTGTGACTCGCAGGCTAAGGCATCCAAATGGATATACCTTCTACCATGGTAGCTATCTCACAGACCATACTGTGTAAGGGATTTCAGAGGCTTCTAAAAACATCTAATTACACAAAATAAAAATTTAGCATCATTACTCAAATGGGTGAATTTCAATACTACCATCTCAGCTTCCCCTTTGGGCATAGGGAGTGCCAGTATGTGATAGGCCTGGAGCAGGGCAGCTATTTGACCACACTTTCCTGGCAAAATCGTATGTGTGTATATTATGGTGATAAAGGAATGATCTTGCTACTCTAAGAACAAAATTTCTCAACAAAGCACATACTTCTGCTGTTTGTTGTTTGTTTTCTGACACAGAGAGTCTCTGGCTCTCAAGAGCACTTGTCACACACATATAGAAATCTATTCTAAATGAGGCAACTTGCTTTCTGTAAAACAATCGTCAGCAAATGCTGCATGACTGACAATACACCACTGTGCCTCGTGTCGATATATTCCATAAATTTCAAACATTCTGGCTAATCAACCATTCCATTGCAAGCATCTAAGGTTCCCACTGCTTCCCCAGAACTCTTCTGGGGAGCTCCACCCACACATGACATTACTGTTTCCACAGCAACCAATGAATTTCATAATGAGCAGGAAGGACTGGGGAGGGAGGGAAGAAATCAAGGCGGAGGGCGGGGAATACATATGCTGAACCATAGGAGAACTTTTTGAAATATTAAACCAGGCATGGCTCCTAAATGCTTCTGTATGAATATTAAACACTCAAAAATCTACATCCCTGTTTGAATATGCAAAGTCAATACCCATATCTGGAAGATTCATGTACTGTTTAAATCGGCAAAAACGGAAAGCACAAAAATGGTAAGGGAAATAGAAATCAACATGGTTTGAACGACGTAGTATTTTTTCTCCGACAACTCAGATTTGGTCAACCTGAAACATTTAGGAGGCTTGGTTGGGGACTCTGGGAGAACAAAGAAAACAAAGGAGGCAAATCAGAAATATTTCCTCCCTGTAAGTGGCACTGGCTTCTTCCCATCAGGAGGAAGATGCCCCGAATGAAGACCCATAGGAGTTAGAAGGGCTGGAGAACAATCGTGACAAGAGCAGAGTGGTACTGCAGCCGCACACACGGCCCCCTGGAGTTCAGCATCCGGGAGCCAAACACACCAGCTTTCTCTGGACGCTTTGGACCAAAGGGAGAGATGCAGCATCAGTGACTGTTTGGTGTTGTAGATATTCCGGGGTGACAGAATATGGCCTACCGCAAAGCTCCCACTAACACTTACCATCCTCAAAAATTGCTCCTATTTCAAAAGACAATTCCGAGCTGTGTTCTGCTTCGCATGGGTACACTGCGCGCGCCTTCCGATTGCTCACGCTGAAAGGGAGCGAGAGAGACACGAATGAAAACGTGCACAACTGGGCGAGAGAAACCTCACCGTCCCCCCCACGCCCATTTCCCAAATCTCATTGATATGTTACCAGTGGGGCAAGTCCTTGCAAAAAAAAAAAAAAAATTAACAGGGAAGTGAACACTAGGCAAAGCCACACAGTACTTGATTTTCCAGTAAATGATGGGTTTCAAATGCAAACCGTTCCTTAGGGAGCCTCTCTGAGAAGCTGTCACTGAACCACTTCACCTAATTCTCCTCCCTGCCTGGTGAGATGCCCTCCCCATCACTCAGCATTGTCAGAGCCACAGGGCATGTTTACTTCCAAGCACTTCAGCTGCTCTATTAGGAAAAGCACCGCATCTGGAGACACGGGCCAGCCAGCGCGGGGAAGAGGCACATCCAGACTAAATAGGCTGGGCAGTGAACCACTGACCCAAATCCGTCTGGGATGATGACCTGCTCCCCCCGCCCACTCTGGAAGGGGCTTGTTTTTACTCAGGGCTTCTGTATTTAGACCCCCTCGCCCCCAGAGGCACACCAGGCTCAGCTTCCCACCATCTGTCAAAACATCCTCTGTGCCCTTGTGGGAAAAGGCCGCATCAGGGAAAGATGGAAACTGTGCTTTTAGCCAGATCCAACCAGAGCAGAGGGAAATGTCCCACTGCACTGGGGAGTAGGAGAAGCCTCTGATAGTAAGAGGCACCTCAGCTGCCACCGCCTTTGTCCACTAGAGAACTGGCCATTTGCTGTGGAAATTAATGTTTCCAGTGCCAATCTGCCTTCCTTTAAAACAGAGACTATGCTTTATATCCATGTAGAGAAAGTTCTTCCAAAATAAGTAGATTCATAAATGCACAACCAGCACCAAAAAGACAGAGTAGGTTCAAGCAGGTCTCAGATAAGGAGAATCTCTCCAAAGAACATAACTTGCTATTAAACCGAGTAAGGCACAGCCCCAAAACAAAACAAGGTTATGAATGTTGTCCAGGATGCCAGGGGGACCTGGGCGAGCCTTTTCCAGCAGAGAACACAAGAACTTGCTCAGGTTTATCAAGCCCCTTCTGGGTGCCCCCACCGTATTCCACATCACACTCCAAACCACATACCTTTCAGGAGGCTTGTCCACCACGGAGGCAGGAGGATAGAGGGGGAAAGGAGGCGTAACAGCTGGGTCAGAGCTTGGCGTGGTCGGAGACTGCGGGTTAAGCCACTGGACCATAGGTGACCGGGTCTGACTTGGGCTAAGGGTAGAAGTTTAAAGGACAGGATTAACAGTAAAAAGGCACAGAACACCAAATGCCTGACATCCCAATCCTAAATGGCTAGAATGCCAGCTCCTTTATGTCCCCAGACCACTGGGGACAGAGACTTCCCTGCATCCTCCCAGGGCTGTAGCCCAAACTACAGATACCAATAACTCCAAAACTAGCCACAACCCCAAACTGGAGATACCTCATTGTTCTTCTCCAGCTTTCTGGAGAAGATCTAATCTTGTCCAACCCAGCACCGTATCAGTTCACTACTTAGGAAATCAGAGTCTAATGGCTCAAAGAAGTGACTGGGACTTTCAAGGTATTCATGTTTTCTGCTTATAAGGGAAGTCACAAGCATCCAGAGTCAAGCCCATGACTTGCAGCTGCAAAAGATCAACACAGCACATGGCCTTTCTACGTTTAAAGCTCTTTCACTTGGTCATACACGTGGCAACTCAAAAAAAAAAAAAAAAAAAATCATTGGGATTCAGGATTCATCTAGAGAGAGCCAAAGACTAGAGTTCAGGGGAGAAATCAATAAATAGCAGAAATTTTTGGTGACCTGAGCATTCCTTAATATTTCCAAATTAAAAAAAAAAAGTTAATGTAAAGAGGTCAGCGAACAGACCCCTGGAGGGGCCTGTAAAGATGGAGGGAGAGTTCGATAAATAGGTGCTGATCGGAATTATCCATTATCCCAGAACTGGAGGCTCGTGGCCATGGTATATGCAATTCCCTTTACAAGCACAGTGCTGAAAGCTCCTTGTCTCATCCAGTGATATTTTCAACACCTACGTACTCCTGGTCTGCTATGCCCAGAGGCTTTCACCTCAAATTCACCCTCTTCAGCTAACACCAGTTTCCATGAGCAGCTTCCTGGTCCTTCCACATTCCTGAGCATGATTTTTGATTCTTTCTTCTGTAGCAAAACACACGCCATGTTCTTCATTACCAGCGTGGTCTCCTGGCTCCATTCCTCCAGAGCAGCCGCACTCAGCAAACCGTGACCAGACCTACCCCATGTGTCTCCCCAAGAACAGGCCCTCCCCTGCCCACCTGCCCCAGCAGTCACCTGTTTGCCCACAGCTCTGCTTCCTGGGGCTCCTCCTTCCTCTCAGTCTCCCCCCCTGCCCCTCCGCCTGCTCTAATCTCGCCCTTTTGCAGCTCAGCTCCAGTCCTGCTGCCCCAAAACTCCTCCTGTGGCCTCTCCAACCCACACACCTTCTCTGACGGCCTGTCACACCAACAGATGAGAGGGCAGGCTGGCATTGGTTGTTCTCTGATACCTTCAGATATTTGTCTTGCCTTTGTGGCAAGATCAGGTCTTTAACTCCTTTTTCTAGACCTTCCTGAAGCCAGGAGGAGTGCTAGGGATGTGAGGCCTTCAGCCAACATCTGAGCAACCAATTTAGAAGTTCTAAAACCGAAAGTGAATTTTATAAATCTGGTGCATTACTGACTTGGGACATATTTAATGCACAGAAGATTTCCTATCCTTTAGTTAGGAAAAAGGGGGGCCATTTAAAAAACGTTTTTGAAGTTTTTGTAAGTTTGAAGAACAAACTTAACAATTGCCGTCTCCAGCCATTCATTTGAGAGTCACAAAACCTATTTCATCCTAAGCCAAGATACCTATAAAATCCTAAAGTGATCTGTATCACCAGCCACAAAAGTCACTCAGTTCTTCGGCAAAAAAAGAACCTTTAAGGTTGTCTTACTAATGAGGAAGGAAAGGAGAGGAAAGGGTGAGCGGAGCTCTGGCAGGAAATTTAAGGCTGCAGGAAGCCAAACAACTGCCCCGTTATCTCCCAGCAATTACTCAAAGTGCCTGGAGCACGGCAGGGGTGGAAGATGAGATGTTTGGCCACACCCCCACTGATTCTTCCGAGTCATAAATAGTCAGGTGAGTAAATGACAGCCATCCATCTGCTCAGAGGGAGGACAGCGACAGGATGAAGATAAAGTAACAATGTGACCATATTTATATGCCCTTTACAAATAAAGATCATAAATTTTATAGCTATTGTCTACTTAATCCTCACATCTTTAAGGAAAAAAAAAAACTCAGTGTCTTGGGTTTTTGTGTACGTTTGAAGGGAAAATACCCCTTAGTTTTCAGCAAGTGAGAAGAACTGCTGTAGTAGCAGGTGCAGAAGGGAAGGGGCAGCCTTGTCCTTGGGACAAGCATTCTCCAGCTTGTCCCAAACCAGAACTCAGAGTCAGCAGTCCTTGTCCAAGGTCAAGTTCTTAGCACAAGTCTTTGTTTCCTGAGATCTTTTGGTTGCTGTTTAACATATATACCTGCTATGTAATCCAGCACTAACCAGCTCACCAAGATAACCTTCCAGACCTCCCATTTAAACTTAATTTTCTATATTTGAGTTCCCTGGTTTCCCCCACGGTATCTCAGAAGCCTCAGCTAGATACTTCTCCTTTGGATTTCAGAACCCCACATGGGCACAAACATCATGAGCTGGGATACTCATAAGGAGTGGCAAAAACGCGAGTCTATGGCCATGAAGCAGGAAGTCCTGTGGGTGAAAGAGGAGACCCGGGTAGCACAACCAGGTTTGGGAAACAACAGTGTAGCTGCTCGGACAGAAGAAACTTTTCACAGGCCTGTTAGCTGGGAACGAATAGGCAGGAGGTGAGGAGTAAATAAATACACTCGAGTCATGGACTGAGTTCACTCCGCTGCTGGTCGAGGTCAGACGACGGGATGTTTCACAGGTGTTTCCCCAAAGCAAACGGCCCATATTTTTTTGAAGGCAAAAAAATTGTAAATATCAGCTTCATTATATAACCATCTCCACTTGCCCAAATTTGGGTAATTTTTTTATGATAAGAATCTTATTTTTTTAAATATTTAATTCTTTAAAATATAATGCCTGTATTTTCTCATAAAGCAGTAGAGGAAAATATTAGTTGCAAAAGAGAATTTCTAGTGTTCTCTTTCTATTATTGAAAACATTTTGAAGGAACACTAGATATTTCAGAATGGTAGCCTGTAGCCAAGGTCTAGCAGTTTTCCCTCAGCCTGAGCTCCAGGAGAGAATTGAGCACACTAAGGCATCTATGTTCGTAATGAATTAACCATTCTCCTATACATCCAGAATGGTTCTAGCCACATAACTGCTGGGAGACGGTGCTCCCTGGCTCTCTTACATTTCAGCACATCTAGTGAGCCAGAGGAACTGGCCGCCTTTATTCTGGACTGTTTTTCCTAAGATATGTGTAAGGCAAACAGCCTTGGAAGACAGAGATTCATTCTCATTCATATTCTCTCTCTCTCTCTCTCTCAAAGCAGGCTTTACCCATTATAAAAGATTTGGGTTTTCTGAGCTCTAGGTCCCTCTCCTGTAACATTTGACATGCAGTGTCACCTGGCCCATGTTTCATCACCTTGTGAGAATTAGGACTCGGGGAACTGGTGCAAGAAGATGCTGATACCGTTATTACTGTAATCAGTAGAGTCCTGTGGCTCTGACCAGGAGTCCCATGCCTTCTGCCAGCATCCCTGAAACCATGGCAGGCTAATTTACCAGCTTGCAAGCAGGTGAATTTCAGATTCTCCTTAGTTCTTGACAATATATCATCCTTGGGAGAACTGACGAAACAGTCACTAAGATCAATTTTTTTGTATTCTGTGGTTCAGGGGAGAACCCCAGCTGAGAATGTTTCCGGGATAAAGATCAAAAATGACTGGTGATATAAGAATAAAAAGCTCATTGTGTGCTAGAATATAATGAAATATTTTGAGAATTCTCTCCTACCACTTCCCAAATTTAAGTGGCTTTTAAATCTATTTCCTTTTTCCTGCTGCCCCTTTAACTACAGGTTTTTGATTAGTAAGACTGGCCTGAGCACAAACCACCGGATTCTATTGAATGTGACTGACCAATTACAAAAAAGTACCTAAGTGCCACATGTTTCTTGAAAGCCAACTTGTGGTTTGCAAAAATGGAGAAAGAAGTCCACTCTTCCTAAAAAGCTCAGAAACCACATTTACCAAGACAGAAATAAATTAAAGAGAACTACTAATATCTGTTCACCATCTTCCTGATTTAACACGCTAAACTGCAAGAATCTTCTTCTAAAGCAGGACTCCTCTCCATTTTCAGTGCAAAAGAACCAACAGCAGCACCTTCCTTCCAGGGGAACTGTTTCCTTCTCAAAGAAAGGGGGCAGATGGAAACGAGAGTGTTTCACTAAAAACACATGAAGATTTCAAATTGCTAACTCGGAAACACATTCCTGAAAACACTTACCCTGAAAGTCTACCTGGCTATTTCTAAGGCAACAGAGAAGTTTCCTGTGCTGGGTGGGGCAGAGGAGCAGCTGGGGAACGCAGTGGGCAGGGAATAGAACATGATCTGTGTGAGGAGGAAACGCTCTTCTCTTAAAAAGAATCAATACTCTTGCTTTGGAAAAACAGGCCTGAATGTCAGGAAAAGACCATATAGCTTTCATGGTGGGGGGGAGGGCGGAGAAACAAACCAACCCCAAAATATGAAATTATGACAGTGGCTGTATCTGTGTACACTTTACAGAGTTTATTTTTATACAATGTAACAAATCAGCAGTCCATGCTGCTTCTGACTCAAACTGTGATCCAATCTTCTTCAGTACCAGACTCTACACTCCATGCATATTAAAAACTTGTTGGCAGCAGAAGAGGACAAACGTTTCAGAAAGAGGAAGGGGGGTTAGGGCCTTAACTGTTAAAACCCAACAGCAGCTGCACCGGTCACCAGAGAAGTCCTGCGTCTAGCAAACATTGCTTGCAGAACGCAGACAGGTCGGGCTCTGGGCAGCGCTGATGACACAAGCGCCCAATTCCAGGCTCTTTGAGCACCGAGTTCAATTTAAAATTCGAAGGGACAGAGCAGGGAGAATACATATCAAGGAAAGAAAGGACTACTTATTCAAGTGACTAAATCCCCCAAATACCAAGATATGTGACTATGGTTATATGATATGGGAATCAA